TTTTTTCAACTGTAAGAATCAAAATCCTACTGTTTAATTTAATCGGTAACATTGAAAAAGGGTATCTTCTTTGAATTTTCTCTAATTTAAGACGATTTCCAGTTTCTTCCTAGCCAAACCTAGTCGTAAACGAATATGGCAATCATTGAAACAGCGGAAGTATGAAATGCAATGAGAAAAATTCAACGGACCGCTGAAGCAGTCCGACTCAGAAACACTAATTGAAAGTTGCCATCATTCCACCTCATCCTACCGAATGCATTGGTCTTCAAAGCATAACTTTTATTCGCGGAGCTACCTAGCAAATAATTTCGCGCATTCCAGAGCAGTCCGACTCGAAGATGCAGAAACTGACTATCAGACCGAGGCTGGAACGGGGCGACTGACGAATAAGAAGAAGATCATGCACGGTAATCTGTTAACGCCGCGGCTAACCCGCCGTTACACATCCATTCCATCAGTTTGCATTATAGGATTTCGCGAAACGACCGAATCTCACGCTTTATCCGTGATAGATGCGGCTACGTGTATCAGGCTTTCGAGGGCGCGCATTAAATACGAAATCGCGGAGGCTCGTCTCGTTCTTACTTCGTCGCTCTCTAGCGAGGAAAGGGCCTCCGTCCGAGTCGGTGGAAAAAGAGGGCGAGAGAGGGCGAGGCGCTTGTTAAAGTTAGTCCCGGGAATTCCTGAGTGCGCGCGTACACGCCGCAACGTACGAATTACACCATCTCCAACTCGTGCTGGAACGATCACGGGGCAAGTCGAAGAGAAACGACAGAGAACGAAGGTGATGAGGACGACTAGGAGAGATGACGACGAAAGATGACGCTGACCACGGGCACCGGGGCTACGGCCACGGTGAAAGTAATAACAGTGAAACGTGCGCATACACGGGCGAAATCACACACGCAGCCCAACTCGCCGGACCAGCTTTTACGTGACCGGTGCTTAAGCTATTTTTCGATATGACCGGTACTTAGGTGTACGCCTGGACTACAACCGCCCGCTGGGCTCTCCCATAGAAACCACCACCGAAGATCCTGCGTCCTTGGGAAACTCGAGGAGGCCGAGGACGCGGTGGCCCAAGCGTCTACGAAAGGGGAGGAAGGGGATGGATAATTGTAGAACGGATCTCGCCAGGCGCATCACCGTGAGATTCGAGTGAAAACGATCGCCGACGTGTTGCCTGGAAAAGATGCTGGACGATCAAGTTTCGCTTTCCTTTTCGGTCTCATCTTTATTGGATGTTCTTTAATATAATATGTATTGGGTTCATTTTATTTGTTGGAACGTATTGTAGAATTGAATTGCGCAGGACTGTGATTCAATGTTTAGTTGGTTTACGATTAAAAGGAAATTATTTTATATATTATATATTATTATTTATTTTATTTATTAAATTTTGTGTCCTTAATTGTGGACGCCAGATCTGAAAGTGTTAAATTAAGCTTACGTAAACTATAATCAAGTTAAATGAACCGGAGCAACCGACACACGGAAATCGAATAATGAAACTCGTACAAGTTGTTGAACATACAATATGTGTGAAAACTGATTATCAAACTTTTATTGATTCGATTACAGACAATAGCGTCAAGTTCACCTTCAAAAAACAACTAAATGATTGTAAGCTGTTCGTTCTGAAATATAATATGGTATATGTAGACAGCAAAATATATTTAATATATTTATATGCTTTGATATCATGGCTGAATGAGAAATATACTTCCTCTAGCTTTACATATAATAAGAGATAATAGAAATTGCGGGATCGAAAACATGTTCGAGTTAAGCGTTGTCTGGAACTGTGAGACATTCGCGTACTAGTAACTTTTGTTTCAGCTACGAGTGTCACGGCCATTTATAATTACACAGATTGTTAAGATGTACATAGTAATATGTGGTATTAAGGGATTTAGGATTACGTTTGTATTAAAGTGATAAAGAAGTATGCTCAAATTTGGAAGGTACACAATTGCATACTTTTGGTAGTCGTGTCAATAAAACTCAATAAAAAACAAGTGCAAAACAATTTTGCCGAATACGAAGTACTTACATGAATTAACAAATTTTTAATAATCAAGTATATATTATTATTCAAGTGAACACTAAAATTATTTTTCATTAGGGATCGTTTCGGCTATTATTTTGTTGCAACGTGGCGTGAGAAGGTTTCCACACAGTTCCTTCTCTTGCCTCGCTTTAGAAAAGGAAATAAAAATAAATTTTAAATAACACAGAATGAGAGTACAATGAGACAGAGTAGAGTACAATGAGTTACAATGCAGAAACATGTCACAGAAACATTTACTTCGTTTCCACTGTGTATACTGTAATAGCATACTTTAAAAAACGCAGGTTAGGATAAAAACTCATAAGAACAATAAATAATTCTAAATAAACAAATGAATATACTCGTGAAGTTTATAGAGTTATCACTATGAACTTGTTTTTAGAAAGGAACAATGTGTAGTAATCTTATAAATTGATTCTCTTTGTTATTCTGTATATAGCAGAATTAATTACGACAATAGCAAACGGAATGCGAGATTTATCATAGCTTATGGATTCATTCAAGAACTTAATATTCCTGTTAGAATCGTATTAATAATACCGGATTATGTACACCTACGATCGTGATAACAGATACCGGATAAACAATGCGATTCGTAAACTTTCTTCAGTTCTCGATGCATTTGCGTCGTGAGATTTGCTTATTAGCTGAGTTTCTTTTAATCTGTTTGAGACACACGATGACAGGTTCCGCTAACAATGAGACAATTAATATTCAGTGTATCAATAAAGAGCGAGAAAGATAAAAGTATAATTTATAAATTATAAGGAAACTGAGTATAAGATACATTTTTATTTGCACCACCGTTACTTTCAGCCCTAATAAACAATCTCAAGTTCGACAAATCATCTCACAGTTTACCAAAGCAAAACACCGCAATGTAAACCGATGTAACTTCATTCTTTCGAACAGATCACGACGAGATCACGAGTGACAACGGTTAACTTGTTTTGCAACACACGAGGGATTAAAAAGAGGAGCGAAATTGGGGCTCCCTGTCACGCAGAGGGGGTTGTTCTAAACGAAAGGCACTCATTCACCCGAGGTGACAGTTTGAGTTGCGGGAACCGACACGGCAGCCTGGAGGAGGAATCCGGAGTTGCCGTATAAACTTGCGATATCGCGATGTATCGCATGTACATAATGTGTACATATGAAAATATTATGTGTATACGGCTGGCGCTGGATGGCCGTAGATACACGGCCCGCAACTTGGACGAGGAAATCGGGTCACGCCGAAATATTTTTCTGGACCTTTCCAAGCTTACGTCGAAGTAAGGACGAAATACGTGCGGCCGTATGCGTTTCATCCGTGTGTGTGTGTGTATGGACCAAAGGGCACTCGGTGAAGTTTTCGTGTCAGCGTGGTATGCAAAGCACTCGAAGATGCCTGCTAGAATTACGAACGCTTTGGTGCCTCGGCGAGCGAGTTCAGCTGGGCGTCCGAGTCAAGAAGATCGGGCAACGTTATACCAGAAAAACAAAATGGAAAATTAGCGACGGTTGAAAAGTAGCTTCGCGCTTTAATAGTGCGAGGATAGAGTGGTCGACTTGAAATGACTTTTAATTCGACGTTAACGCGCTTTTAATACCCGCTTATTTAGCCACAGCGCTCAGCGGATACCAGTGTTGATCCAGCTGAAAGAAATTGACGTACATCTTGCAAAAACTCGAGTGATTCATAAACTGGTCTAGCTAGATCGACGGATGGGAAGTTGGTAGGAAATTCTGTTAAACGGATTATTACTGGCGCCGGTCTGTAAAATATTTGTCAAATGGATAACGGAGAGTTTTTTAACAACTTTTAGTTGTAGAAGTATCGCAGGGGATTGTGAGTGGAATAGAACAGGAATCGACGTTTGTTAATCTAAATGAAAGCCCTATTTATCACGTTTCTTTGGATGTCGAATTGTTACGTAAGGAATTTAAATTAAAATAGTCAAGTAAGAGACGTATAAGGATATAATAATTTGTATAAAAATTCGAACTGTATTCAGTACACAGGGTTCAAAGTACGTAACATTAACATGATTTCGCAATTTTCACGCATTCTCGAGTGTATAATAAACTAAATTAATTGATGCATTTTATTGTAGACTTTGATTTACTTGAATAAAAGTATTTTTCCTTCCTCATTCTTTACCATAAAATTTACATATTTTTTCTTTTTACTGTATATCATCCTAAACGTGTTAATAGTTTTGAATATGACCACATGATCGAAATTGTTGAACGGGAATAATAATTGGCTTGTTACGGCTACGTTCAGTATCACTGAATTATTCAACATCAATGAGGAAATTAGTGTTCGACAGAACATTAACTTATAAAGGACGACTGAAATAAATTTTACAGTTTCGATTGCATTTATATTAACTACCAGTTATGAAGCATACAGATGATCGTAATAAGATTGTTCATATTTTATTACGTTTTACCATTATTGCACATCGAACTCATAAAATGTCTATATAGACTTTTAGGGTTTTTTTTTTAACTACACGTAAAGTTCATAACTGTCCAAGGTTTAATATCCTTATAGCACATTCCATATCGATTTAATATCAAAACACAGACTGCGATTTTCCTTGCCTGCGGCGCGAAAAACTGACATTTGATCGTGAAAATATACAGTACCAAAGTTCCTCCACTGGGTTGAATTTTCTATACGGCTAGAACTTCGTTGCAATTGTCTAAACATTGTTCTTATATTTTCTTTAAAATTATTTTCTGTGCATTTAATAAACATTTCTAATTGCAATTTTAATGAGGTCACATTAAATGGTTCACGCAATATTTCCAAAAATATTTTCCTACAAAAATTGCTTAAGACAATTGATGGAATATCTTAGAAAAATACCAAGCAGATAAGGAGCAAATAAAGTTACTATTGTAAGGTGATGATTATTACGAAAAAGTTACTTACGTATGGTTTTTTAACACTGTCTCGATCATATTTGTGACAAGAGACCAAATGAAAACGGATCCGTCCGAAGAACCAACTGCAATGTATTTACCGTTAGGACTGAATGATGCTCGGGTCCAATCGAACCCGACTTTGAAGCCATCGGCACTATAAACAAATGAAAAACGCGTTTCATTAATATCGATGTTATATTCCTAAAATCACTCGGACGCAAACTTTTAATCATATTGAAATTTGTTAAATTTCTGTCTTCATTATTGACAGTAATGCAATATACATACAACCCTTAACAAATTCCATTTATTAATTAACAAATGATGCATACTAACAATGGAGTACATTTTCAATCATTTCCACAAAGTAATTATTTTCAGATTTAATCTCATTGTACTGTGTGGTTATTCTCGTTTACGATTAAAATTAATAATAACGTCCAATGAAACGGTCAAAAGAGAAACTAATTCACCCTTCATAAAAGCTGATTATTACTTGAAGAGGCTAAAAATTTCATGTTTAAAGTTTTATGTTAAATTTAATTACAATTTTAGATTTAAAAGATCAAATTGTAGGGGGACAAGCTTTTTAATTAATCAATGCTGATTTCTAAAGTATGATTCAAGTTTAACATTTATCAGGTGTATAACTCTATAGACGAAAAATGAAATAAAAACATTATGTTCATCAGTTTTTCAGTTAAATTATACAGGACAAATGTTTGTCTCTTCTACAAGAAAGATATTGCTTCAATTTATCGATGTTAATTTACATTTCATTGTATATCTTTACATACATATATTTCTTACAGATCTATAAAAGTTATTTTATTATCCAACGATAATTTAGAAAATGTCAAAAACATTTATACATTTTCCATTTTCTCTATCAATGACTAAGTAAAAGGCTACGATTTTATTTAAAAAATTTGACAAAAATTAAAATATATTTGACCTTTTACAAATCAATAATGTCGAATAAATTTTTTTACACGAGCCTTCGTTCATGGGAAAACTGAATTTGGAAATACGCGTGCGATAGATTCCAAGTCTGATTTGGAGAACGTGTCTGTCCATTACTAGCTGTTTCTACTTGTATTGGCGTTTCTCGCTCACGCCGATTCTTGCATGGAGTATACGCAATTGAATTGCAAAGTATTGAATATTCAAAGCTCTGTGTACTTTTTGTGCAGGCAGCAGCTGTCATTTACTCAGTTTATGGAAAATTCCACAAGGTGCATCAAGAGCACGTTTAATTCCACTACGGAGTCTGGAGAAAAAGCTTCATTCCGCGATGAAATAACATCGTTCGAATTAGAGAAACATTACTTCTCTTCGTAAGACGACAGATCCTTCAATTATATCGCATAATTTTCTCGAGACGTTCTACTCACCTAAACGACCCAATGATTTTCTTCATCCGTAGGTCAATAAGTTTCAGCGTGTCGTCTCTGACGCAGCTCAAAAGGTAATTTGCATCTGAAAACAAGCAGGTGTCGCTCCTTGAATTTACATGTGTCGCCGATGTTGAAGTTAAATTGGATGTGCTAATACGGTTAGCCACGCGATTCACGTACGATCTGGTCCACGTTGAATCGTTGAAAATTTAACATGATCGTGAGTTCTTTTTATATTTACTGTGTTTATTGAAAGTTTCAAATAAATAATCTGTCCAATTTTAGCATCTTAGGGATACTGGAGAGGACCAACTTGAATCATTATTATAAATATTGCACAAAATATTTTAATTAAGAATTATAGATATAGCAAGCATATATTCTGTTCGTTATATTTAATATTTGATGTCTCAACCATCTTTCTGTTTTACTCAAATTATACAGATATATTGAGGAGCTAGAGAAAGTTCGAAGAGTATCAACGAACAACGCTCAGGTCGGTCTGACGCAGAATGACTCAGACGCGCATAGGGGCGATAAGCAATCGTTAATTACGATGTGATTGCATTCCGATCGTTTCAAGAAAGTTCCCGTGAGTTTTCGTTATTTGAACAGCGACAGTGGATAGAATAAAAAAAAAAAGACACTCCTTGAAATGCACCGAGACGAGTCCGTTAAGTAAGTAATTCCTTTTGGGGGCGTATAAATCTTTTGGGGAGGCGTTCGGGTAAGGTATTCTGAATCCAGCGAACACGTTTCCCAAGGAATGGTATATTATACTTTAATGGAAGTATACATAATGTATTACGGCCAATGATAAAGGAAAAGCATTAGAACGGGGGTGGAGGGGGGCATGATGTAATCGAGGAGAATTTTTCAGTCGTTGCAATATCGTCTCGTTCGAGTTCTATCCTCGCATTATCCAGATTAATGAAATGCGCCTGATCAATGTGTGTCTTTTCAAAGCGCCCTTCAATCAGTGCGGCGAATTAGCAAGTGAAATATACGCTTTGAGATACCGACGGAATATTGGCTATCGTTATAATATCCAGACGAAACGCGAACGAAGCACTAAATATTACTTCAGCCATGCAAATGATCTCTAAACGCCAGATTGGATAGGTCTGTTGTTTCATTGTCGAGTCGAAGGCACCACAGCTTGGCTCAAGCGTGTGTTTAGTTACTATTTCGATAATTCTTGGACCTTTTTCGGTGTACAGCAGTTGTGGTCATGATTTGGAAGCAAATTAAATTAGAAACATATTTAAAGTGGATAGCCAATATGTAATTACTACTTCAATTTCGAAATGAATATATAATTAATGGTTTTAGATGATATTATATTATTATAAATCCCTTTAACATTGTTCTCTATTGCCAAATATCCTCTTAAGAAATTCGCGATCGCTGGATTCACGTCACTTCAAATTCTCTTGGTGTATAAAATAAAATTTTATACATGTTTCCAACATTGATATTTCAAACGGTGCAAATTTGCAATATCCAGGTTCAGAATTTTATTATTTTCGTCGGTACTCGGTATTGGAAACGTAAAATATCTATCGGTTGCGAATCTGTTGAGATATTTTATTCTGATTGTGGACGGCTGTGCGAAACTTACCACGAGACAGATCTAACGATGTCACCTTTCCCTGGAGTAAGATGTCGTTCGAGCTAGATTCGGATCTGGTGTCCCAGAACCTAATTCTTTGATCATAGTGACCGCTAATTATCGTAGAACCTGCTCCGTCAGAAGTTACGAGGTCGTTGCAACTGGAACCGGCGAATTTAGTTTCTATGCCTGTAAAAAAGAAAACATTAATCTGGGATCCGTGTTTAGGTAGCATAGAAATGTTTTACTTTTAATATTTATGAAATTGTTTTACTCGGGGCAGTCGAATTTTGCTTAATATTATAAATTTTGATGATACAGTGTGGTCTATGAGATCGTTGTCATGTGGCCCCAGCTATGTCTGTTCGGAGCCATAAATATTAATTTCTAAGTTTCCATTGCAAAGCTTCTTCAGAATTAATGGACTCGAGATGGATGAATTTCCTGCAACTGTTTGGAAATTTCCATTGAATACTCTCGAACTTATTGTTTACCGAAGATTTCGAAGGCAAGATTACGCAAACTAGAATCGCAAATCTAGAATTGCATTTCGCTTGAATGGAGATTTAGATACTAAAGGAATATTATAAATATCATAGCAAAAGATTGAAATAAATTTATTCAATATTTAACTTCCGAGAAGTTTATATACAATTTTAAATATAAATTGTCATTCAATCATAATTTTAATACGTATGTGGTATCGAATATTATCAACATCATTACAAGAAAATTAATTTAACAATATTCCTCCATTTCTCGAGAATGTACAACGAATGCTCGTTTCTCGAGAACTCGAAACATCTCTCTCAATTATCCTTATTAAATATCATCGCGAGATACGTATGGTTGAATCGACCTGGCTCACAAAAAATCAAACGGAGAAAGAACTGGAGCAACAATATCTCGTTTCTCGGTCTGAAAATTCAATCGAAATGCGTATCCCCACATTCACATAAAATCTGCTTACGTCGGTAGACCTAAGTCGACGGGTATGATGCATCGCCACGAAGTAATGGGACACAGTAATTCCATCCTCATAGGAAGCACAGAGCCTCAAGCGATATCAATAACCGACGTATCGTTGCGGTAAATTCGACAAGCTAATTGATTGTCCGGTAAATCACGTTTGATTTAACGTAGACCAGCAACGACAAAGTAAAACGCACGATCCCAAACAAAATTCGTAAATGTACAAAGGGGCTAGATCAGTCGGGATGAGTAAGGTATCGTTATTCATAGTTTGTCCTGTTGCGGTGCTCGTCCGCTGCGTCGACAAACAATCGACGTCAAAGCTCTCTTGTTGCGGAAAAACAAGGCAGAGAGAGCTTTACGATGACAGGACGAGGTAACAATTCGTTAAAGATTTTTGTCAGCATTGTTTACCTGTGGCTGTCAAACGGAGCTCTCGGATCGGTTACAGATCCGTTCGCATTAATAATATTCCGTTTCAATTTTTTTTTTTTTAAAGAAATGCATTAACACGAATCGTTATAAAGGATGGGTTTGTTATTTCAAGTGTAGTGGTTGTAACTCCGATTTATTTTATTAATTAAGGTAAGAATTTTGATTTTTTTTTTTTTTTTGATAACATAATTAGAGTTACCTTTCGAGTAATTTTGAGCAAATATAATTTTATGAAAGCATACTGTGTATGGAATGTTTCAAGTATTATTCATTATGCACTTAAAAAGTTAGGAAGAATATATTTATATGAGTAGGGTGAATTAAGAATGAAGTGCGAGAGCAAAGAAATGGGAAAAGAATTAACATGGAGGAAAACAAGTGTATGTATATATGTCAGTATTTGGTAGGAATATTTTAAAGACGTCAAGCAACAAAAATATGCCAAAAAATCGACGTCTCTTCCTAAAATACAACAAGACTTTATTAATGATGCTTAGGGTGGCACGAACCCTTCTTAAAATAGACAAAGAGATTGATATTTGCGATGGCGGTAGTATCAGCAGTTTATGCGATTCGCGGGTTTCGGTGTCGTTTTCGTGTTGCATCAGCGTTCCACGACAGTCCTGCGGAAACCAATTGACGCGAACGTTATTTTCCCGAGCGTAAATTAAGTTTGAAATCTAGCTTATTGCGCCGTTGGAAATCTATGGAAACTACTGGTTCGGGAACTGCAATGCGAAAGGGGAAACCAAACCCTCGACTTGTAACGTACTTTTAATAACAAGCGTTAACTGGCGTAGCGCAACATTGGCTACCGTACGCTTTACTCGTATTTCAAAGCTCGATGAAATTGCACGATCCGGTTTCTTTGTTACTTTCCTTCGACACGGTTATATCGACGTTTCCGAACACGAGCGGGGTCACGGTTGCGGGGGCGTTGTTACACAATGAATAAATACGTAACGGGATGGGTTACTTTTACGGGTAGCACTCGACGGACTATGATTGTACGTATTCTTTTTGTTTCCTGGTTTAAAAGGACATATTTCCCTGTTTATTCAGTATATGTACTACTTGAGGCGAATGTGGGGTTGCTGGCTGCCGGTATTTTCCTTTCTTTCGATACACGGGTGGTTCGATAACAAGTCTACGAGATTGTGAAGAAACCAGGAACTAGGCAACGATTAGATCGATTGTTTGACGTTTGGTAGAAGGTCCTTCGGTATAAATGAGGACTTCAGTTTTCGTGAATGTACAATTCTAGAATTTTATTAGAGTTTCATACTTGAATTATAGGAACTGTCACATTTCTTTGAAGTGCACTTGCTTCTTTAATAGAGACGTATAATTCTTGTAAGTACATTATAATAATCCTTATAATATAATTATTGTATAGATTTTAAAACCAAAATATAGTTTAATATCAAGGCTGTGTTTAATTTTGTGTATTAAATTTTGCATTGAATGATCGTAATCAACAAAATAGTAACGATACAAATCACAACGTGAATAAGTAATAATAGCAAGAAGTACTAAAAATAATAACTAATGATCAGTACAAAGTCTCTAAATACCTCATTGTTGTCTATACGTTTTGTTTCAAAAGTTGCCAGGATCAAGTATCGTATTAAACGGTCATTCTAATTAACAGAATTTATTGCACTAGTTTATAACTACAATAAATCCAGTCTGGAAATTATTTTAATAAGGAAGCAAAGTCGGACGCAGCAAAAATTCATTCGAACATTATGCATTACAATCTACATACCATAAGTTTTCGAATCCATTTTTAGTACTTCTAAAGCACTTTAGAGGCACAAACGTTGCATAAAACGTTCATGAAATCGTATCTCCGGCACAACTGTAGGAACATCGTTCTATGCATAATTTAAACACATTAATAAAAGAAAAATCCTTCTCTCGCGTGGAACAATACATTTGCGTAAATACCGCATACACATTGGTCTTTATCGTTTCCGCGTTTAAATTTCCTGAAAAGGGTACCACAAATAGGTAGAAGATAAGTGAGCGAGTAACGAAATTTCCTCCAAAGTATGCCGGCACGTAGCAGGAAACTTGTCAATCCATTTTCTACCTCCGTGCCGCCACACAGACACGAAACATGATTTATAATCGCACGTTACATGACTTGCCTGCACGCTAAAAACAGAATCGCGATTAAGTACCGTGCACGGTGAATCCTTTTAACGACAAACTGTATATGAAATTTCCTCCCAACGAGGTAATGAATAAATATTCCTAATTCACCGAGCTTATTTGCGAACGTTAACGATGATTACGCGGTTGAATCCTAATGATAATGCTGGCGGAGTAGGAACATTACCACAACAGGCAAACCGCTTGGGAAGAGCTAACGTACCAGAGAAAAGGCCAAATGAATTCAGCTACCAACACTTATTGTTAGTTCCTGGTATTTAACCCCCTGACACGACACAGAAATCACTTAAGTCTTGTACCAGCGCCATCAATCATAAACAGATTTCCTTTATTCGTAATATAATCAAGGAATTCCCTTGTTCTCGCGACAGGTGTTGTTCATTATTTTCTTCGCATGTCGTTCTTTTAATACGGCGACATGCGAACTTTTTTTCGGGAGGTAGCACCGTCCGAGAGAAAGGGAAATTTCACCGTCAGAGGTAAGTGGTGGGTTCGGGGTGATGCAAGGAAAATATACTCCAACAGCTGACAACTTTGATGATCGATGTATTAATAGATAGAAATGTTTGAGTCATCCATGTCAAGTGACGTTATTATGTTTATACAAGCTAATATTTTAACGGATACAGAAAATGGATTGAAACTTAAATGAAAGTACATATATTTTTGTTCATATTTTATATGTTTTTCCATTAGTATTTTGTATTTTCATTTGAATCTTCCATTTTGCATAATGCACAATAAATAATCGCGGTCTAGTTATTACAAATTTTCTTTTACCCTTTTTTTCATTAGATAATATTATGGACTTGGTATCAAAACAAGAAAATGTGTCGTTTTTCAGTTGACCTGAGTGCGGTAAGCAATCGACAAGAGAATGTTTTCTTTCAGTTTCTATAATATTATTGTAATGCCCGTCGTATGATTAAAATGTAACATTGAAAAATTTCATATTAGTTGAATGTCGAGAAAAATGATGCAGAGATGTCAAGTTTCTCATACGTCACTAGCGATTCTGTTTTACTCAGATATGATTTTTAATATATGATGGTAAACTCGAAAGGAAAATGTAAAAAAATGTTGCCATCCCTTGAATGCATATTTTATTGCGCTTAATGGCAAATTTTCAAACTGGACGAATTAGAATATGTTTTTGAAATGTGTTTGATACTGCAGAAATTTATTGGCTCCTGTAAAAGAAGTATCTAAGGGTCTTTTCAAATATAATTGTAATATATTATCTTTAAATAATGAATTTTTATACAGACACAACTCGTACAATGTTTGGAGTATAAAACACTAAAAGATGTGAAAAATCTAGTACAGAAATCATACTTTTCATTCATATCTCTGACTATTCATATGATAAATAAAATTAATTACAAAGTTTATTAGAAGACTAATTTCTTAAAAAGTAAAAAATAAGCTCTCAGTGTTTGTTTCTGAATTACCTGTTCAACATTCCTTTCATAGATACATGCATAAAATTGTATCTGACAAGAAATAACACGTTTTATTAAAAAATTTAACAGGTACAATTTATTAAAGCATTTAACGAATTAGAATCGATATTCTCAATTAGTATGGATTATTAATGTTATTAA